ATAACCAAAGGGCTCACACATGGCCCCAGAGGCTTCAAAATACCACTGCAAGCTGGGACCCAGTGTTCAGACAGGAACCTATGAGAGGCCTTGGCTCTCTAAGCCTGGAGTGGCTCCACCCTGGACCAAGCAAGGCCAAGGACATTTTCCTCTGCAAATTACTCTAGCTGCTAGCTGTTGGACAAAGGCCCACGGAACTTCTCCAAAGAGGAGACCAGATTTTATGAGGCAGACTGGGAGGAATGTTAGGAAAAGCTGCCTTCTGGATATGACATGTCCATTGTCCAAGCAGGAACAGCACCCAAGACCCCACACACGTGCATACACATGACATGAAAGCAGGACAGGGTACAGCTGGGAAGCAGCAGAAGTATGAGCTCACTGGACAAATCCCATGTGGGTTGTGTGGGGATGACTATGTTGGGTTCCGAATAGGCTGAGTGAGGGTGATGTGGTGGTGTCCCGGGGGTGAGCTGTACGGTAACCTGGCGAGGTCCTGTTGGGCGACAGGAGGATGAGCTGGCTGGGTCCTGGAAGGGCTGTTGTGGGGTGACTAGGCGGGTCCGCGTGGGCGGTACATCCCAGGGTCCGGGCCTCCTGGGCGGCGCTCAGACAATGGTCCCCATCCTTATCTTGGCGCACAGGCCTTCCCAAAGCGCAGCGGGCGGCGGCGCTTCCTCCGTCCTGACCATCCGCCCCTCCACCCTCTGCTTCCTCCCCGCGACCCCGCGGCCTCCGGCGAGGCGCGGTTAGCGGAAACGCTTGGTGGGGCGGCCCGGCGGCGACACGCGCGGCCGAGTGCGGAGACAAAGGCGGGATGTGTGCAGCCAAGAGTCCGGAAACGGGGCGCCGGCGGCCGCAGTTCCAGCTCCCGCCCATTGTTCGCTGCGCGCGTCCACACGCGCCGCGCGCTGCGCACATCCTGCCTAATCTCGCCAGGCTGTAGCGCCATTTAGTCCCAGTGATGCCGGCCCGGCTGCACCGCCCTCAGTGGCCGCGCTTAGCAGGTGACTGACGATCTCAAACAGCTCTGTGTTTACATCTGTCTGTCTGTCTGTCTGTCTGTCTGTCTATCTATCATCTATCTTCTATCATCTACCTATTATCCATGCATCCATCCATCAGCCTGCCTGCCTATCATGTATCTGCCATCTATCTCATCTATCTATCTATCTATCTATCTATCTATCTGTCTATCTATCTATCATCTATCAATCTATCATCTATCTATCAATCATATATTTACCATCTATCTTCTATCATCTACCTATCATCCATCCATCTATCTATCATCTATCTATCATCTATATCTGAGCGCTCCACGCAGATGACTTCTTCCCTGGGCAACACTGAAATGAGTGATGTTTTCACCCTCATTTTCCACAGAAGAAAACTCAAAGGAAAGGGAAGCCCTTGTGGGTGGTCAGCCACAGAATATGCTAGGTCTGCACTTGCTAATGCTGTAGTTCCAAAAGACGTGAACTTACAAGCGATCCTTCCCACCCCTGAGATGCCATGGATGTGATTGCAATTTCTTGTCAAGTACTGAAATAAAGGATGTCCCTCTAGCTAAGCTCTTTCTGAGTGATTGTCCCAATAACGCAGAGAGAGCCCAGTTCTGAGATGGTTCTGAGATGAGATTTATTAATGACTTCCTGCCCTTTTTAGGACTTTGGATTCCTCTGTTGTTTTGTGTCACTTCTGTGTAAAGTAGGTGTTGTCTGTGGCACGGGTTCAAGTGGAATGAAACATAGACCACAGTATTGGAAACCAATTCATCCATCAGCCTGGGAGAAGCTGCTGTTTCTGATTTCTGACCCGTGCAATTTGGCTTCACAACTCCCCTCCCATTAGTCCATGAGTGCAAGGCTTTAAGATTTTTGTGTAAATCTGAGCCTGGTGGGCTGTTCTGGAAGATTGTCAACCCAGTTTCTTGCATCTTTAAGGCAGCCTTTCCTAGAACTTGGGGTCCCCCTAGCTAACTTGCATTGTTAAAACAGCCTTTCCTAGCACTTGGGGTGACCCTAGCTAATGATTGAGGTTCATGCAAAAAGCGTATGAATGAACTTAACTGTCTTCATATCTGAATTAGTAACTCAGTGGCTAAGCAGGGAAATGATCAAAGTTTGATGTGGTGAGTGCCGTAGGACACAGATGGCATTATGGAAGATTCTGAGTCAAAAACAATAGAAAGGAATCTTCGATTCTAAGTTCATTATGTCTGCAGTCTAGTGGAGAATGACGCAAATGAAGATTTGAAGTCAAGATGTGAATTTTACAGTTATTGATCTACAGGATGGGAGTACCTGATGTTTTGAAGATGTATTGTAGAAGGAAGGTTTGAAACTGGCTGGATGAGTAGAAAAGAGAAAAGCATCCTAGGCAGGGAAAAGTATGCAGACTTTGCTATGTGGAAGTTAGAACACTGTCTTAGAGTATGAAAGGATGCCAGTGTATATTTGATGGAAGGAGCCCTTGGCTAACTGGTGTCAATTCCAGTCAAAAATGGCAGCTAGATCAGACTGGTGTGATCAGGTGAGAATGAAAGAAGGGGCACGTGTCAAAGATATGTGTTCAGGAGTTGATACACAAAAGATATGAGAAATGGGGGGGACAGTGATGTAAGAAAGATAACCCCTAATTTTCTGGCAGAACCATTCCTGTAGAACAGAAATGTAGAAGAAAGGTTTAGGAGGGATAATCATGATATACAGTGTGGTTTGTGGTGACTACAAGTCATCAAGATGCCATCAAGGAGAACACTGATATGGGTGGGATAAGACTGAACTTTGATGGAAAACAGATTTCTCCATTAGTGTAGCAAAACAGACCAGGCTGGGTGAGATATAGGTAGATTTGTATATTTGGTAGCAAGGAGGTATAGGCCTTGGTGATTTCGTTTAGAATACCTGATTAGGAATAATGGCCAGGGAGCATTAAGGACATATGTATTGCAATGTGTTGTTTCTATTTGGTGACATGAAATCCCATCAGTTTAGAGAAAGGCAGGTAGTAAAGAGAATGTGAACAATCGAAGGTGCCTGGGAAGAAATGAGAAATTGCATAAATGTAGAATGAATAGAGGTCAAGAACAGAATGCAGGTGATAGAGAGTGTGTGGCTGAGTTAGTAAACAGCTGATGGCTTGGTCAAGGGGATGGTCAGGGTGAAGAGTGAGTAAAATGGGATATCTCTCTCCCTCTCTTCATAAATATATATATATATATATATATATATTCATTAGAGATGAAGTGTTTAGAGGGTGAAACACCTGTGATGTTGCTATTCATCCTCATAAGACTGAATAAATAAATATAAGAAAAGAGCAAAGATTGGGGGGAAAATAAGAGAAGACTTCTAGCCATATGCTATCACTATTGATGGTGGGGAAATGAGAGAAAGAGCGAGAGAGCTGTCAGGAGCAACAGCAAACAGGGATGGAGGTGGCATTCATTAGGAGAAGACAGAACATTCCAAGAAGCTGGATAGCAGCATAAATGTTAGACTGGAAACACTTCATTCTTCTGTTCTCCTCTTCCTGCATCCACCAGAATCCTTTCCTAAGAAAAACAATTGGAACTGGAAACATTTACATCTTTGAAGTATTCTGGAAAAACGTCTTTCCCATGTTTTATTTCTGAAAACTGACAGAAGTCACTGAATAGGTTTGCTCTCCAGAGAGTTGTTTGGGTTCCATGAACTCCAGGGCCAGAGGAAAAGCACTGAGCACCACATCACATGACCTTCACATACTACGTTGAACTGAGCTTTGTAAGCAGACTGTTTCTGATTGGAATGCAAACTCCTTCTTATTCACATGCACAATTCTTCATGTCCATTAAAATTAGACTTTAATGTAGTTTCCTTACCTGATCCTCAAGTCACTTGGCTGTGTGTGAATACACAGGACAGTCTCAGTAACCACCACTGTTGCTCATCTTTCATCTGAATTTTACACAAAATCCTAATGGTAGAATCACACTGTAGGCTCAGAGATCCAATCTGTGTGCCAAATGTCACTCATGGAACATTTTTATATTTGTGGTAGATATTGACTTGATATCTCAATAGTAGTTACATACATGTTTCAAAACAAAGGCAAGGAAATGTATGCAGATTTTACAAGATATAAATGTAGATTCCAATATTAGCAATAATCTTCCTAATTCTTTTACCTTTATTTGTATGTGTGTATGTTTGTATATGTGTAGCATGACATACATGGAGGTCAGAAGACAACCCAAGGAAATCTGTTTTCTCCTTTTAACATGTGGATCCTGGAGATGAGACTCGGGTCATTAGGCTTGGCATCAGATACTTTTACTGGCTGAGCCATCTCATCAGACTTTTCTAAAAAAATATTTTTTATGACAACAGTCTTTGTTATTTAATACTGCTATTTATTTCATTCAGCTGAGAAACTCAGAGCAGATTGATTAGAAAAGCTAACCATGCCACATGATTACAAAAGAGGATAAATAATATGAATGGACATAACTTGACTCCGGTAAATAAGCAAAGGAGAAACGAGAAGATGATGAATGATGCATGATTTTTTTCTAGTTCCCTGTCTAGAACTTGTAATGCTAATTACTCTTGCCTTTACTTCTCCTTCACATCTCCTATTCGGGATTCAAGGGCTTTCTTCTCCCCTTAGAGACAAGACTTATGCAATTTGGGAGTCCTGTAGATAGACCCACTGAAGGGGTACTCCAGTTGCCTCACCCTGTGTCCCTGTTCAGCATGGAAGAAGCCAGAGCAGTCTGTGTACCTATTCCCTATTGGCAATTTTGG